CCGTAAACCCCAAACCCCCCTAAAACCCAAAGCCCCCTAAGCCCTAAGCCCCTAACACCCTAGACCCTAAACCCTGAACCCCAAAAGCTCGAGGTAAAGGCCTTGAACTGTCTTTAGCTGCTTTAGCTCCCTCGACCCCACCTCAAGCTGTCACCCAGAATCTCCGAAAGTCGTGAAAAAACCCTAGCAAAATGAAGACTTTGGCTCTGGCATCTCTGGCATTGGGTTTAGGGCCCAAGGGTTTAGGGCCCAAGGGAGGAGCTGGAGTTTGGGGCTTTCGGGATTTAAGGTTCGGAGTCCAGCGTTGTTGTGCTTGGGGTCTTGGGGTCTTGGGGTTTAGGGTTTAGGCTTTCGAAACCCTGGCTCCCTCGACGCAAACCAGAGCTGCAGGACGAGCAGAGAGCACAAAAAGACCAAAAAGACACAGAAAACGGCACAATCACAGCAGCAGCAGCAGCGGCGGCGGCGGCAGCAGCAGCAGCAGCAACCACAGCAAGGTTGTTAGATTGTTTGCAGCTTCGGCACGTAATGTAGACCCCGGAAACATTTTAAAAAAAACAGAAACACACGTTAATACGGATTATAATACCAATACGAATCAGACCCTGTTGAAATCCTATAGTAGGGTGCTTATATGGAACACTTGTCCACACTCTAATCTTCTCGAACCTACACACTACACCTATGCAAACCTACGAAACTTGACCCGAAACGGTGAACCTAAACCCTGCAAAAACCCTAAACCTCAATTAACGAGCCCAAAACATTACATCCTGACAGAATCTGGGCCTTGTCCGACAGGGGGTCCATCCGGAAAAGCCGATAGCTCAAGCTCCCCCTACGGTGCAATTCAAGCTGCCTGCTTGGGCTTGCTTTGGTTGGGCTTGGGTGTTCAATGCTCCGGGGTGCAGGACTGAGGCAATTGAAGTTGTGGCGCCTTTGTCGTTCTGTATATTAAGTCAGGATTTGTTGGTCTGGAGCTCGACCACTGCGATGCAGACTTCAATCAGAGTTGGACTTCGGAGCGTCGGGTGCAGGTTCGGGGTCGAGGGTCTTGTGAGTCTGGCTGGGCGCGACCTTTGCTTCACCGCTCATGTTGGGCCGACGCGAACTGCAGGCGGCATTTTCACTGACCCTCAACCTAACTCCTAACTCCTAACACGGAGTCTGTGTAGAGCTCTTATTGTAGGGCTTAGGATCTAGGTAGGGTTTTGGGGTTGGAAGTCTGGGGTGCAGGGTCGCCCAGTGACATCGGCCACGGTGGTGGTGATGCAACGGCGGGTGAAACGGAGATGAGAAGGATGGCCATAGCGATAACGAGGATGATGGCGACGATGACGCGGATGAGGGTCACGATCAGGATGAATAATGAGGTGACAACAATAATAAAGGTGAAGTACCTTGTAGAACCCGTATGCTTGGCGTTCCTCTTCCTAGTCTTTCCTGGCATTGGTGGCTGCATTTACCGCAGGGGCATTCCTAGCGCAAGCTCAGCATCGAACCCTCCACGCGTGGACCCTCATGTAGACATGTTGTAGGCTGAAACTTTTCCCGATGCAGGCAAAGTAGAGCGGACTTTCAACTGATTTTTCTTAAGTGGCCAGGGGACTTTCAGGATTATTCCGAGGCTTAGACTTTAGGGTTTAGGGTTTAGGGTAAGAGACACGCACTTATGGAAGCTGAGTGGGCCGTTGGGGTTTAGGATGGCTCAGGGTTTAGGACTCTGGGCTCGAGATGTGAGCTGACGACTCAGCCTCAAGCTTATACCCAGGAGTCAATCTAAATCGGAGGGCAACTTTGGATGTGTACATAGTGCAGTAGACCCACAACAAGAGCTCTTTCCGAGGAACACCAGGAGGAAGAAATTTCATCATGGCAGGCGCCACCAATTTGATGATCGCTGCTAGCCTCTGGCGCCCCCCATATAAACGCGACGAAATAGTTGGAGGCTGCTTATAATGCATCATCTGTGCCTCTTTTGTCCAATGCCGCACGCAACGGCGGTCATGCATCCAGCATCTTGTCACGCCAGTCCTGCGCGACCCCGCCCCCACGCAGATGCCTCAGTTCACTCGCAACCTAAAGCCTAAATCCCAGCCGTACGCTGCGTTCAAAGCTGACAATCTCCAGCATTGCCACCAAACCGGGCAACCCGAAACCCCAAACCTCAAATTAACTACGGATCTTGGGGCTTCATAACTGGCGGAAGTCTCTAAGGACTAGTATCACGACTTACATGGGCCCGGCCCGATGTGCATCTAGAGATGCCGCGGAAGCTCTCGTCGAACTTGGTCAAGTGCCGGCTCCCTTCCCAAAGACAGTGCGAATTCCTCCAGAGACTCTGCATAGGACAGGTTGATCTCCGTCTCTGGTCTTCTCAATGCCACCTAAAGACATCAGGATTTAGAGTGGATTTAGGGTTTAGAGTTCAGGGTGTGGGGTTCGGTGTTCTCTTGGGGTTGCACTGTACGAAGATGCTACAACACACTACAATCATTTGAAAGCAAAGCCCAGCCACAAGAGACACGGCATCAAAGAGGTTCCAGCTGGAATTCTGAGTCAGAAGATGCGCTGCTGCAATCGATGCAGCCCGAGACCTACCTGCAGATGGTAGTTGGGGTCTTTGCCGTTTTGTTGAACATCCTTCTCGGAACAGCCGCACTCCTCCACCGCCCTTAAAGCCTCAAGTTTAGCCTTAAACCCAGAGCCTGATACATGCCTTCATCCCTGCAAAAGCCTCTCATTGTAGTCAGTAATGGTAGTAGAGTTTATGGATTTAATGGTAACCCACGCATAGTCTTTCTTACAGGAACCCCTGTGATACCCTTTCTAGTAACAAGAACCGCCCCCCGACCTTGCTGGCAGTGGATGAAGACTCGACCTGATGGATTGGCCCCGAGAGCCCTGTCGATCACTGCGAGTGTCTCTGGCAGCACGTCACAGAGCCGGCGGCCGTCATCAGCCGTGTCCCACAAGGGCATGGCATCGGAGTGCCACACTTCGTGATAGAATGCCCTGTCCGGAATGGCATCAAGTTTGCTGGGTACGACGTTCGGTGCAAGGTTGATCACGCCGATGATGTCCAGATGCTTGGACCACTCATCCAGCTTTGCTGCATGCCCCTGATGACCAACCACCAGCCTCGCACCAATCACATTTGGCAGAACGGGGCGTTTCTGCACGGGCGGAGCGCTCAAGACTTTGAAGGAACGTAGCAAGGGCTCCACCACGGCCGATCCGACGGTGTAGACACACCTCCGAACACGACCCTGCAGGACCTTGCTGTGAGGGAGTAGCTGGGCATACCCGGAAGGCTCAACGTAATGCTTCCATTTCAGAATGTGTCCGTGCCTGTTCCAGTCGACTAGATTGACTAGATATGTTGAGCACCTAAAGACTTCCTTGCATTCTGACAGACAGCCGCGGCACCGCCTCAGCTTCTGCTGGAAGGAACCCCATGACCAGAGCATCATCACGGAAAGTCAGTTTGGCCAACGCCGCCTGGGCTCTCAGGGCCCACTTTGGAGATGCCCAAAGTAAAAGAAGGTGCACAAGGATACTACGGAGACAAATATAAGCCTTACAGAGGCATCATAAGAGCCGTCCATGGGCAAAAAGGCACTACTCAAAGACCAAGCTGCTATGTCCGGGCACACCCAGCTTTCGGCCAGACGTTCCACGTCCCCCTCCCGCATGTCAATCACCACGGTGCCGTACCACTGCAGGATGTTGTACACCTGCTCCACATCCTCGTCTTCTAGCCTGGTCTTGAAGTCCCCTTGAGAAACATAGGTCATGTTGTTCCTTCTTAATTCTAAAGTCTCTAAGTACGTACCAAAAAAACCTACCAAAAAATACCGATCTATAAGAAGCTACAGCAGCTTCAAAAAAATACGGCTCAGTAGCTGCACTCCCTTACATCGCCTCGCTTCCCCGGCCCGAGGAGGAACTCGGGCCACGGCTTTGGGAGTCGAGGCCTCCTCGCCGCAGCGAAGTCGCCAGAGAGCTGTCTTGGGCTCCGTGCCTCAATGCTCGGTTTAGGGGTTTAGGGGCTTAGGGTTTAGGGGCTTAGGTGTTTAGAGTTTAGGGCTTAGGGGTTTAGGGGTTTAGGGGTTTAGAGTTTAGGGTTTAGGGGTTTAGGGCTTAGGTGTTTAGAGCTTAGGGTTTAGGGGTTTAGGGCTTAGGTGCTTAGAGCTTAGGGTTTAGGGGTTTAGGGCTTAGGTGTTTAGAGCTTAGGGTTTAGGGGTTTAAGTCTTCTGCGCATAAAAACCGGCAGTTTCCCGAGAATCTAGTACAAGTGTCCAGCTTGAGGTCTCTAGATCTTTGTCGTCACTTCCCTTTAGGAGAACTACAGTTGATGATATAAATCCTGCATTACCCATAATAAGGAATATACCATAATTCCCATAGTTTAGGGTCCTTAAGGTCATGCAGGATTTATATCATCAACAGTAGGAAGAAAATTGAGAAGCAAGCACCGAGCTCCCCGCCGGGTAGATGGGGCAGTGAACGAACGACTATGACGCCGGAACAGCCTAGTGCCTCGCGAACCGGCATGCACCGACATCAAGGCTGGCCCTATACATGCCCCTATAGAAGGGCTTGGGGTTTAGGGTTCAGGGTAAGCCCTAGCAACCCTGTAGAGACTTGAAGAGTTTCCTGTCTCTTCAGTCTTGGCATGTCGACACACCTGCGAGCGCAAGATGACCTCATTCCCTCAGTCCTAAACCCGAAAACGGAAGCCTGAAACCTCAACCCAACACCTGAGTCTCTTGAAACTCGCAACCCTATGCCCGGAAAGCCTGACGTAACGCTTCTGCATCTCCTGGAGAACCCTACAGCACGTAGTCAAGAGCAGGACCTCCTACCGGAGTTACCTTCGTCGATTTTTGGCTTTACGCTAGCCAGTAGGCTTTCGTTTCGAGTTTAGGGTTCAGGGTTTAGGGTTTAGGGGGACCCTAACCTACGATAACCACGTGGTCGCAAAGCACCTAAGCCTAGAAATTCGACGCTAGGGCGAACTTTCCGAGCAGCCCCAATGGGTAGCAATTTTGCCATTTAAATGAAAACGACCCTTGCAAAACCCCATAACACCCTGCAAACTTAAACTCCAAACGCTAAGCACATCGAAAAAGGTATAAAAGGGTACTACTGCAGGACCGGTTGCGGATGCATTAAGACGCTAGGAGGAAGTTGGTTATCAAGACCCCAAGACACATGCAATTACACGCGACACTAACCCGAAATTAACCCCAAAGCTTAAGTCATAGTACCTTCAAGGGCGGTGGAGAACTCCCTCTGCAGTCCCTGTACCTTTCTGTGTTCTAATGAGTAAAGCACACCCTGAAAAGCCCTCCTGAACCCCTAGGCCTACGCCCTAAACACTAAACCCGAAGTCCTTCAGCCCTTAGCCAAGGTACCCTACAACAACCCTTGCACCCATAAACCTTAGAACACCCTTCCCCCAAACCCTAAACCCCAAATCCCACAACCCTAACCCCCGAGTAGAAAGCCCTTATAGCAACCCTCAAAACCCCGAAGCAGCATCTGACATCCCCAAGGCCTCGTCCACGGCCAGCCAATCCTTTTCTTCGGGAGGTGGGAAGGGGACAGTACACTAGGTGTCGATTTCAAGAGTCATAAGTACTTAAAGAGCCTATAAGCTTCATGATGCCGGACAAAGACTCCTTTCCAGCAAGGACCTCTGCCACTAATTTCGCCGTCTCCCCGACGCCGGTATTTGCCTGTGCCACGGCATGGCTTCAGAAGACCCAGGACGCCGAAGTAAAAACCAGCGCTCCCTGTAAACATCTAAAAAACCCACGCAAAAAAATTGCTACAGCCTTCTGTAGAATCCTTGCGGAACTGAGAACTGCAATAGCCCATAACGAAGAACAAAGCTCTAAGCTCTAAACGTCCGAAACCCGATACCCTAAACCCTATAAACCCTATAAACCCTATAAACCCTCTAAACCCTCTAAACCCTCTGAACCCTCTAAACCCTCTAAACCCTCTAAACCCTCTAAACCCTCTAAACCCTCTAAACCCTCTAAACCCCT